ACGAGAGGGCTGTATGCGTATAATTGGCAAGCGTTTGAGCTCTGGTGCCAAGATAAAGGACTTGTTCTTTTTCAATGCTCTGTGTGGACAATCCTTATGTTCCTACAGGAGCTTTTCGAGCAGGGAAGTGAATTCTCCACGTTGAAAGTGTACATGGTCGCTATCTCAGCATGTCATGTGGGAATTGACTGAGCTTCACTGGAGGTTCTCCCCCTGGTGATGCGGTTCCTGAAAGGTTTACATTGTCTCAGATGGGTATCTAAATCTATTGCTCAGACATGGGACTTGGCGCTGGTATTGGAGGTGCAGTGTGTGGCCTCATTTGAGCCTCTGGAGTCGGTGGATTTGAAGATCCCCTCCTTTAAAACCTCCCTGCTCATGGCTGTGGCCTCGTCTAAAAGGGTTAGGGACCTCCACGTATTATCCGTACAACCTTCCGGGCGACTCTAAGGTGACATACATTCAGCTTTACGCACATATATTGAACGGACCCGGTATACCCGGTTATGTGACCAGCTTTTTGTCTGTTTTGCTAATCCTGCTAGCGGCAGGGCGCTCTCTAAGCAGTGTCTCTCTCACTGGCATATATCAGCATTGGGCAAGGGTTAACTAGCGTGCCCACTCCACCAGGGGTTTGACAGCGTCTTGGGCATTGTTTAAAGGGTTGATCAGAGTACACAACAGAACAGTGTACTGCCTACACTCGGTTTGTTGTTTTTATTAAACAGTTTTCATTAAAGCGTTAAAGCATTTGTATTGCTACTGATTCCGCGACGCGGTCAGCCTTTACAGTTGGGACCGCAAGTTTGTGTCCCGGATTCCTGTTAAGTAGCAGTTTGCTACTAGCCATCATGAAAATGGAGCAGGCTAACGCTATCAGTGCTAGCGCACCTGTGTTTTTATCCACGGCTGGACGCAAATGCTTTAGGTGTGAGATGATTTCCACACAATCACAAGATGAAGAACTGGAAAATGGACAGGGATTTGTCTGCCCTAAATGCACCACCATCAAGCATCTTAGGGAACAGATCCTGCGGCTCTTAGCTCGGTTGCGAGAAAAGGAAAACCTGCTTTCTAAGTACACCGACCTTGCTGTAACCCAGGCAAACCGAATCTCAGTTTTAAATGCCTCCTATAGCAAAGCTGTCGATTAGTCGGGCGGCGTTGATCTGTCCCAATCCAACAAACAGATGTTAAGCTCAACTCCGCGGCCCATGGGAGACTGGACATCCGTAAGGCGTAGGAGATCGGGGAGGCAGTCTGGCCACCCATCTATCCAAGAAGATCAGATCCAGCTATCAAACAGCTTTGCCCAGCTTGAGACGGACCTACCAGCCCCGGGAGTCAGCACGGATCCTGGGTGTATACCAACAGCCGGCGGCCACCCAGTGGCATCCTCCCCCAAGGCCACCACAGTTTAGCAGGTCGTTTCCTCATCAGATTCTGATAAATTGGAGACTGCCAGAAAATGTGTTGTAACGTTAACAATTTGGTTGTTATTCTATTAGTTACCTTCAGGCAGATGCCCCATGGGCAGAGTGGCCCACACTCATTGAATATGGCACTTTTAAATGTTAGAGCAATCACTAGTAAAACCTTTTTGTGAATGACCTCTTTACTGAGCACAGAGTTGATTGCATGTTTCTCACTGAAACATGGCTGTCTTCAGACTGTAGTGCCGCTCTTATTGAAGCCTCCCCCCGGACTAAAGCTTTTCATACTCTATCAGAAATGGGAAAAAGGGTAGAGCATCTCATCAGGTCTTGCTTTTTTTACTAATGCTCTCAGCTGTAAGGACATTTCATTGGCGACTTTGGGTCTTTTGAGCATCATGCTATACTGTTTAAATGTCAGCCACCAGGGCTGGCCATAACCCTGTATAGGCCACCAAAGCACTGCCCCACTTTCTTTACTGATTTCTCTGAACTATTGTCTATTGTCCTTGAGAACTATGACAAAATCATTGTGTTGGGTGATTTTAATATTCATGTTAACAAAGAGGCTGACTCCAAAGCCATTGAATTTCTGAATCTTTGAGCTCTATGGACTTTATCCAACATGTTACTGTGCCCACCCATAACCGCGGCCATACTCTGGACCTGATTATTACCAAGGGGCTTTCTATTGACATAGCCTCTATTGAGTGTATGAACAATACTCCATCACCTATTCTGCCTTCCTCTTGTGATGATTTAGTTGATAACTTTAATAGCAAATTAGGGGCAACAATTGATGCCATAGCTCCAGTAAAGTTGAAAAAGGCCACATCCAAACGGAGAGAAATTGCAGAAAGGCAGAGCAGAAGTATAACAAGGCAATTAGAAATGCCAGATGGGCTAATTTTTCTAACTTGATCACTAATAATCAGAATAATTCGAGTGCTCTTTTTGACCATTGTTGGCTTGATAAATCCTACCCCTGCAAATCTATGTGAACTTTCCTCCACATCTAAATGTGATGAGTTTGTGGCATATTTCAGAGATAAGATAACAAACATTAGGCTGGGTATCAGTCAAGCAAGACCTGATGAGATGTTTGATGATATGTGCCCTAGCCTACCACGCACTCTGGATTTATTTCCCCTGGTTGACACAGACTGCCCCTGGTTGACACAGGTTGCTCAGGAAAGTGATATAACAACTTAAGCCTTCTACCTGCCTTCTCGATCCACCTTCTTCAAAACAGTTTTTAATTGTATATCTGAAGAAGTACAAGCTATTGTTAATCACTCCCTGTTCACAGGCACTTTCCCCACTGCACTAAAAAATGGCTATGGTGAAAACCCTTCTGAAGAAAAGTAATCTAGATTATTCAGCTCTTTGCAATTTTTGGCCAATCTCCAACCTTCCACACTTAAGCAAAATTCTGGAGAAATTGGTTTTCAAACAGCAAAATTATTTTTTAAGTGCCAACTGTATTTTTGAAAAATTCCAATCTGGTTTTCGGGCCCACCACAGCACAGAGACAGCTTTAGTTAAAGTGGTAAATGATCTTAGAGCCAACACAGATGCCAAACTGCTCTCTGTCCTTGTACTCTTGGATTTAAGTGCTGCATTCGACACGGTTGACCATGATGTCCTTCTGGACAGACTGGAGAGGTTGGTTGGCCTCTCTGGTCCAGTTCTAAATTGGTTAAGGACCTATTTAACCGGTCAAGAGTTTTTTGTCACCTTTGGTGAACATAACTCAGAGAAAATACATATCACATGTGGCGTTCCACAAGGTTAGATTTTGGGTCCAGTACTGTTCAGTTTATATACGTTACCCCTTGGCAGCATTATCAGAAAGCACAGCATTGATTTTCACACGACTTTACATTTCTGTGTCACCAGAGGATTTTAGCTCCACAAATAAATGATTAGCCTGTATTAGTGATTTAAATACTTGGATGGCTTACAACTTCCTCCAGCTAAATCAAGACCGAGGTACTTATTGTTGGAGCCAAAGCACAGAGAGAGAATTTGGCTGCACATTTTAATTCACAGGCAATAAAGATAAAACACCATGTAAAAAACCTAGCTGTTATTTTAGATTCTGAACTCAATTTCGAATCACACATTAGGAATGTGACCAAAATAGCTTTTTACCACCAGAGGAACATTGCCAAGGTGAGGCTGTTTCTCTCTCAGGCTGATACAGAGAGACTCATCCATGCTTTTATTACAAGCAGGCTTGACTACTGTAATGCTCTCCTGTCTGGTCTACCCAAGAAAGCCATTGGTCAACTGCAAAACATACAGAATGCTGCAGCACGGGTACTGACCAAGACCAGACGGAGAGCACACATTACACCGGTTTTAAGGTTTCTGCACTGGCTGCCTGAGAGTTTTAGAATTCATTTTAAGATTATTCTATTGGTTTTTAAATCAATACACAAATGTGCACCCCAATACATGTCAGACATGCTTTTAAGTTATGTACCCAGTAGGTCCCTCAGATCCTCTGGCACTGGCCTTTTAACTATCCCAAAGCCTAGGACCAAGAGGCATGGAGAGGCAGACTTTAGTTACTATGTCCCCAGCCTCTGGAATAGCCTGCCAGAGAACCTGAGGGGGGCCGAAACTGTGGACATTTTTTAAAGAGATCTTAAAACACACCTTTTTAGCTTTGCTTTTCCTCAGGGTGCTTTTTAGTCGTTCAAATGTATTGTTATTCTTTTGTTTTTTATCTTCTTATGTTTGTTGTGCAGTAAATATTTCACTTTTTATTTTCATTGTTTTTAGTTGTTTTTTCCTGTGAAGCACATTGTGTTGCATTCCATGTCTGAAATGTGCTGTATAAATAAAGCTTGATTTGATTTGATTTCACTATAGGAGATATTTGTGCTGCGGCGAGTTGGGCATCACCACACACTTTAGTGAGGTTTTATTGCTTGGATGTCACTGCTCCCAGTGTAGCGCACAGTGTGCTTAATGCTGGGACAAGTAACTAGGCAGCGCGCCGTGTGCACAATACCCAGACTGCTGCATCTGGCGGGGTCAGGTCTGGGTGGTCTGCCATGGGCCATTTCATTTAGTATCCGTTGGGGTCGGCTTGGGGCGTGATTATATTTCCCCATAGTATGTTGTACAGAAGTTGACTGACTGAAAGGGAATATAACATTAAGACTATAACTACTGTTCCCTGAAGGAGGGAAGCAAGGTACAACACCTGTTAGGCCCCGCACCGCCCGTTCCTGGGCTCTGTGAAGAGCAGTATTAAATTGAAAGAATGAATCAACGCCTCAAGCTTATCAACTGTGGAAGGCGGGGCTTCCAGCGAGGCACGGATTTCATTGGCCTTGTCAGGCATGATTGTAGATTCTTCAACCAAAGTCGCGAGAGTGCGACTCCCATAGTATGTTGTATTTCGTTTCCCTCCTTCAGGGAACAGTAGTTCATGTCATAATGTTATGTTTTCAACGTTCTTTAGTTAGTGTATACATTTCCACTCTACTCAGTCATGTCATGTTGATGTATACAAACACACACAGAGACATTCAGATGCGAAGAGACTGACTTGTTTCCTCTGAAGAAGTATGTCTTGCCGGTGGGGGTGTAGAAGAGGGCGGCATCTATTTTGTCTTTGGGTAGACCACTGCCCATCTCCTTTAGAGACTTGGGGTAGCCATCCTCCAGAAGAGATTCCTTGAAAACCCAGTGCCTGTCTCCTACACAGAGAGAGAGAGAGAATCTGAATGAGTGGCTTTCCTCAGTAAGAATTACAATGATGTCTTCTACATATAAAGGTCTATAGAATAGTATTGTGAGTGGGTGGTAACAGAGTAAAGAGTAAAGACAGATTTACCCTTGAAAAATACAAAGTTGCCATCATCCCTTTCATAAGCAGCATTGATGTTTGATGGCAGGCCTCTCCAGAAATGGCCTATTGGCATTGGGTATCCGTCCAGAACCGCGTTGTTACGGACTCTCCAGAACCACTTATCCTGAAGGAGAGAGAGACATGGTTAATACCTGTACAAACTAAATATATGTATATATATATTTAGGCAATACGGCCCGTTGTTACGGACTCTCCAGAACCACTTCTCCTGAAGGAGAGAGAGACATGGTTAATACCTGTATATGGCCAATATACCACGGCTAAGGGTTGTTCTTATGCACGACGCAATGCGGAGTGCCTGGACACAGCCCTTAGCCGTGGTATATTGGCCATATACCACAACCCCCCGAGGTGCCTTATTGCAATTATAAACAGCTTACCAACATAATTAGAGCAGTAAAAATAAATGTTTTGTCATACCCGTGGTATACGGTCTGATATACCACGGCTGTCAGCCAATAAGCATTCAGGGCTCAAACCACCCAGTTTATAAATATATATATATATATATATATACATATATATACACAACGACAAAGCTAATTTCAGCTATACATATCTGTAATTAATTACCTTGAAGACAAACATTTCTCCTCGGAGGATGGCGATGGTGTCAAAGTGTCCCTCACAGATGTCAGGGCCAAAGCGAGGGTTGTATGGGGTGTGAGTGGGTTTGGGCGGGTGGTGAGGGGAGCGTGGGGTAGGTGGAGGAGGGCGGGGGCCACCACCTGATCTACCACCTGCACGGTAGAGGAAGAGAGTAATGTAATCCTCTACTACTATCATTACCTTGGCCCTTCATCTTTTTTTGTGATCTGACTAAAATGAAATTTGGGCCCTAGTTATAGCCTAGATACAGTATAACAACTAACAGTAATTATAATGAATTTCCTCTTAGCCTGTGCTCACCATAGATTTGCTGTATCCCCCTGAGGTCATCTTCAGGCAGCTGGAAGTTCTCTGTGTCCATCCACTGGTAGAATGGAGCCATGATGGCCGAGGGGTCGTTGGAGTGCTCCAGACCCAGGGCATGACCCAACTCATGTACCGACACCAGGAACACGTCATTACCTAAGACCAACAGAACCATGTCATCACCATCACATTAAATTGTCCCATGAAATTCAAGCTTGTTATAACAATGGTATGTGTGCATCTATAAAAAAAAAAAAGCACTATTCAAATTGAACTGACTGGGAACATCTAATGTATTGACAAGCTATCCCTGTGGTTTTAAATAGCAGGCCTCTATCTCACCATCAAAACGAAAGAAAACTGTATATCATGCATTTTCCCCACACAAACACGCCCTGGGGATAAGTTCCAAAACACACACATTGGGGCCTGCTGATGGTGTGTTTTTGTGGCCTGCTGCTCACAACTGCCTGAGGAGCATGGTAACTCCCAACCCAGTGAATTTCCCATCATAACATCCCTCTCCCTCTTCCAAACACTCAAGGTCACTCACCTGACAGATCACTGTTGCCGACCGTCCAAGGCTCTGCAGAGTCAAAGTGAGTGTCTCCCCCTATGCCGTTACCGGGGAAGTAGGCATGTGCCAAGAAGCCCCCCTCGCCGTCGAAGGGACTGGAGTCGCCATGGAAACCCTCACCAAAGAAGAGCATGATGTCGGCAAAGTCCTCCACCTTGTCCCGTATGTGACTGTAGGGGATCTCCCGGAAGCGTAGAGGGGTCACACTCTCCCATACCTTGAAGGCCTTCCTGATAGCCTCATGGGTCTCATACTCCCCCACCTTAGGGGTGTAGTTCTGTATACTAAGAGGGAAAGAGGGAGCACCGTTAGAGAGAGAAGAGCACAGTTTGTGACAGAAAAATATAGAAATTGAGGGAGTAAGGAGAAGACGGGGAGTAAAGAGGGAAAACAGTGATAAACTTTACGGCATAATAATAAACACTTTACATAACTTCACCATATGGGTTGTGGCTGTTCTTTTCATTGTTACCCTACACATGCAATTGGAGTTGGAGGCATAACTTACCAGAAGGTGAGATCAGTCTTATCCCATTTCAGGCCCTGGATAGCGTAGCGCTTCTTTCTCAGGTTGCTCTTCAGCTCAGTGCCGAACTTGTCTGGAACGCCACATCGTGGCCGCTTCATTGCCCTGGCAAACACAATTCAGGGACTGGTCACACAGAGTCGAATAGAATCTCTGTCTTGGAAACCCGCCTTTGATTACGATAACCCTGAATCAGTGATTTCACACAAGTAAGGCTATTCGTTTTTAATGGCCTAGTTATAAGCTCCTGGTCCTACAAGCAGGGTAATATGGTCCTGAACCAGCAACAGTTGTTTAGCGTGAGAGGCACTCACTCTACAGTGTTGGTGTCGATGGAGCCGGTGATGGTCAAGCCGTAGAACCTCTGCATGGCTGTGATGGCCGTGGTGATGGAGTGGGGGGAACGGGCAGCGTGTGTCCGCAGGTCACCTGGGGGCAGGTAGCCATACTGCTGCAGCCACACCTAAAAGATGGAACAGGAAGAGGTTGTAATGTTAAAACATGTCCTGGATGGTTGTAGAATGAATATAATACAGATAAGTCAGAAATACTGTATACGGTAAAGTATATGGATTCTGCTTCAACATCTATCTTTGCATCTGTAGGATATGAATGTTGGCAAATAAGGCTGAGTAGACTTGATGTACATTCCACAATGACATAAACAACAAATAATCTCAAATGTATGTTTTCATATGTTTTGGCTTGCGTGAGAAGCACAAGGTCCACAAACTGGCGATGGTCATTCCAATGAGTAACTATAAAAGTATTCAAACATAAACAGTATTCTTCAGTGACTGTGTCCAGACCAATGAAAGTAAGGCCAATTTGACAGAAGCTGACACACTGAAACCAAACCAGGACAAAATGGCCCCGTACAAAGACAGCTCAGATTTCACTAAAGCCCTTGTAGGGAAAAGCCCAAATCTTGGTAGACAAAACTTAACAGTGAAACTAAAAACATTCTGTAGGTAAAATATTAACCTACATCCCTATAGGTCTAGACTGGCCTCGCTTTCCAGGCTTCTACTTGTGCGATTACAGTGTCTGGCTGCACTAGAGAAGGGGCCAGATGATTACAGTATATATTTGACCTTGCATTTCCCTGGAAGCTCATCACTCTGGTGCCTCCCACTCTTTATCTGTGGCAGAACCAGTGGCTGGGTTCCAAACCTCTCCCACACAATTTCAGCTCTACCCTTACTCCCCCCCCCCCCCCCCCCCCCACAAACAGGAGTTGGAAACAACACTGTGGCTATTGTGAGGTAGGTAAACCTGAGACCCACCCCTCTGATATTCTCTACTGAACACGCCCTGACTCGAACATTGTCAATAAGCTAGCACACACCCAGGAGGTGTTTTTCACAACTTTAAAATATGGTTTGTTTGGCTGCATGTTTGACCTTCAACTATTCAGCTCTTTTGTTGCGTTAACAATGTCAGTCTCTTGCGAAACAACACAGTCAGTCAGTAATTTTACTGGGAATTTCTCTGTGATCCCATCCAAACCTCAAAGTCAAAACCCCTCCCCCCCCCAGATTCCCGTCTCTCTGTCCTCTTCTCTCCACACTCCTCCTCCCACTCTCCCTCTCTTTTCTCTTACGGAAAACCCAGAGCCCTGAGGGTAAATAATTGTGAACAACCACACCCAGTGCACAGTTAGTACATCGGTTGTGTACAGTAACTGCCTGGTAGGTTGTTGTACATGTTCCAGGAACATAATGAATATAATTAACACAAAAACAATACTTTAAATGAACTAGTCATTATGTAATTTCAGAATTTTCTCTGTATCAAACTGTACTACAGTGATATGTCAGCAGTTTCATTATACTGTAGCGGGTGATGTTGGACGTAGTCAGGCGCAGGAGAGGAAATCACTGAATAAATGGTTTATTCAAATAAACAGAGGTACGCAGCTATGCGTAATATACACCAGTGGGTAAACGGCGTACTGGGGAAGACAAGGCACACGGGTGAACATCCCGGCGATACACAATACAAATCTAGCTCAACTGAGCTATATATCCTCTACATTGAACAATCACACTCAAAGACAAGGGGGCAGAGGGAACACTTATACAGGTACTGATGAGGGGATATGAACCAGGTGTGTGTAATAAACAAGACAAAACAAATGGAATGATGAGATGAGGAGCGGCAGTGGCTAGAAGGCCGGTGACGATGAACGCCGAAGCCTGCCCGAACAAGGAGAGGAGGCAGCCTCGGAGGAAGTCGTGACATATACTGTGTGTGTGGGTGGGGGGAACTCACTGTATTACAGTATTGTAAATACGTATGAAGGAGTGAGGTGGAGAGAGGTAGAGGAGCGTCATGAAAGAGAGGGGGATGGTGAAGTGTGTAATTAATGGATTATGATTATATAAATATAATGGAGGTGGGAGGACATGTCTAGAGGAAGAGTTTGTTTCAGGACAAGTTTCAATTCTATGTTTGGTATAAGGCCACAGCAGCTCTTTCTGAGGCCACTATACCTTTCGTTCGAGTCTTTTATCTGGGTCATTCATAGTGTAAAAAAATTTAAAAATGTAAACAAGTGTAAAATATGGATGTATGCGCAAAAGAGCCATTCAGTAAAACGGAACACTTGTTTCAACCATAAGCCTAGTGAGTCCCACTCCTCCCATACATGGTCCCATTGGTGGATCCGTAAAAAAACGTCTTCAAGTGTTATTCACTGTAAGGGTATGCTACTTCTAAATGTAGCACTTTTGATCACTGAAGCCTAAAGAGTGGGCAGTTATAGTGGTCACTTTATTTACTTTAGTTGAGTGAGTCAGACCTAGTATTTAGACTTTTTACATAGACAAAGTAACAAACTAATAGGCCTACACATTTTAGAGGTAAGGATATGACTTCCCTGACCTTAAAAATTAGAGTTCGAAGGATGTGTGTGTGTGTGTGTGTGTGTGTGTGTGTGTGTGTGTGTGTGTGTGTGTGTGTGTGTGTGTGTGCACTGGCGCCCCTGCCTAGAAATAGAGAAAGATGACTGAATTACATTAAAAAAGAAGAAGAAAAACAAACATTTTCTCTTGGCCAATGGAAATAAAACTCTGGTCAACAGTGCTCCAGATTACTGATCGACTTAGTGTGCCCCAATGACTACACACAAACATAACAACAGATCATGAGAATGAAGGCTCATTGCTCATAGCTAGAGTTGAAGTCTGAAGTTTATATACACCTTAGCCAAATACATTTAAACTCAGTTTTTCACAATTCCTGACATTTAATCCCAGTAAAAATTCCCTGTCTTAGGTCAGGTAAGATCACCACTTTATTTTAAGAATGTGAAATGTCAGAATAATAGTAGAGAGCTTTTATTTCTTTCATCACATTCCCAGTGGGTCAGAAGTTTACACACACTCAATTAGTATTTGGTAGCATTGCCTTTAAATTGTTTAACTTGGGTCAAACGTTTCGGGTAGCCTTCCACAAGCTTCCCACAATAATTTGGGTGAATTTTGGCCCATTCCTCCTGACAGAGCTGGTGTAACTGAGTCATGTTTGTAGGCCTCCTTGCTCGCACACACTTTTTCAGTTCTGCCCACACATTTTCTATAGGATTGAGGTCAGGGCTTTGTGATGGCCACTCCAATACCTTGACTTTGTTGTCCTTAAGACATTTTGGCACAACTTTGGAAGTATGCTTGGGGTCATTGTCCATTTGGAAGACCCATTTGCGACCAAGCTTTAACTTCCTGACTGATGTCTTGAGATGCTTCTTCAATATATCCACATAATTTTCCTTCCTCATGACGCCATCTATTTTGTGAAGTGCACCAGTCCTTTTTTATGGCGGTTTTGGAGCAGTGGCTTCTTCCTTGCTGAGCGGCCTTTCAGGTTATGTCGATATAGGACTCGTTTTACTGTGGATATAGATACTTTTGTACCTGTTTCCTCCAGCATCTTCACAAGGTCCTTTGCTGTTGTTCTGGGATTGATTTGCACTTTTTACACCAAAGTACGTTCATCTCTAGGAGACAGAACGTGTCTCTTTCCTGAGCGGTTTGACGGCTGTGTGGTCCCATGGTGTTTATACTTGCGTACTATTGTTTGTACAGATGAACGTGGTACCTTCAGGAGTTTGGAAATTGCTCCCAAGGATGAACCAGACTTGTGGAGGTCTACCATTTTTTTTCTGAGGTCTTGGCTGATTTCTTTTCATTTTCCCATGATGTCAAACAAAGAGGCACTGAGTTTGAAGGTAGGCCTTGAAATACATCCACAGGTACATCTCCAATTGACTCAAATTATGTCAACTAGCCTATCAAAAGCTTCTAAAGCCATGACATAATTTTCTGGAATTTTCCAAGCTGTTTAAAGGCACAGTCAACTTAGTGTATGTAAACGTCTGACCCACTAGAATTGTGATACAGTGAATTATAAGTGAAATAATCTGTCTATAAACAATTGTTGGAAAAATTACTTGTGTCATGCACAAGGTAATGTCCTAACCGACTTGCCAAAACTATAGTTTGTTAACAAGAAATTTGTGGAGTGGTTGAAAAACAAGTTTTAATGACTCCAACCTAAGTGTATGTAAACTTCCGACTTCAACTGTAGATACGCAATATACTGACACAATGATCTGGCCCACACAAGACACTTGGCTTAGGAGCTACTGAACACACTATGACAAATCACAACACACACACATCATCAGAGTCATTCATCATACATGTGTGTGTCTGGGTGGTGTTGCAACATCATCATAAATCTTCTATGTGGATGTTACTGATAAACCTCCCTGACCTCTGACTCTTCTCTACCTAAGTGTGTATGGGATTACCAGCGGTTGTCTATGCAAACAGTCCTCTAGCTAGCCAACATCAACAAGATTTTTTAAAGTCATTTAGCAGACGCTCTTATCTTTTTTTTTCTTCATACTTATTGCCACAGTGAGACCAACACAAGGTGTTTTCAAGCAAAGAGGAAATCCTCTGCCCACTTTCTTGCTCTCACTGAGGCCACTGGATATGAAACACCTACCTTCCATGCTCTGACTGGTACTATGGTCTTTAAACAGCTGCATTGAGCCCAGTCTAATTGGCTATGACACAGAGCTGCAGATCTTGATTTACTGTTCACTTAGGGTATTATCTCTCTCTCAATTCTAGTGAGCGTTCTGGTGCAAAGATTATGGCCAAACATCACTCAAATTACCGGTAGTATTATATGTGCTTTGTTGGGCTCCGGGCAGCCGAGCGGAAATGGAGGAAAACTAGACTCCCTGCGGACCTGGCATCTTTTCACTCCCTCCTCTCTACATTTTCTTCATCTGTTTCTGCTGCTAAAGCTACTTTCTACCACTCTAAATTCCAAGCATCTGCCTCTAACCCTAGGAAGCTCTTTGCCACCTTCTCCTCCCTGCTGAATCCCCCCCCCCCCTCCCTCTCTGTGGATGACTTCATCAACCATTTTGAAAAGAAGGTTGACGAC